GTGATTCAAATTGTTCGAGGTACAAATTATATACATAATTACCGTTGTTTGTGTGATTGCAAAATTTTTGAATTCTAGCGAATTTTGGTAAACCAATATTATAATAACCCGTTTTACCGAGATATCGTAAAAAAACTATATAATTCGTTACACCATATTCAAACAATTTTTCATGCAAAATATCAATTTTTGACTCTTTTAGTATCTTTAACCCTTCCATTGGCATACCATTTCCATAACATACTTACATTACCAAGAAACACAATTACAGAATTGCACAAAGAGATTGTTTCGGGAAAATTCACGATTTATATATGTACCTATAGCTCTAGTTTACGTTGTCAACAGTTACCCAGCCGCTGAACTGCCTAACAAGCCAAAAGAAATCAGTTGAAATAAAGAAACGAGCGCACTCCTTAAAAGTATGTCGGCCGGCAAAACGTCTGCGCCTTTGGTGCCGCAGGTGTCCATGTCCATGTCCAGGTGTCCAGGTGTAGCGGAGATCACTTACCATCAGGTGATCCGTCTGCTCGTTTGCATCAGACACCATGTAATATGATTAAAAGACTTGGATCGTAGATACTTGACTTTAATAGCACAGTACACAGTCGGGCAGCTCACTGCACCAGAGTTACATTGTCAATCCTCATTATCACCACCACAATTACATTGTCAATGGCCGACACTCACTCGGCCACCTTATTTATAGTAATATGATGACAATGACAGTTCTAGTGCGACAATGATTAGTATTACTAATAACAGATAATACAACACCTATTTAATATAAAAAAATATTACATGGTTGGCATAGAGGTCCAGACGATTCGTATACCGTGGAACCAATTCCTTCAATCTTCTTTAACAAGAGTCAGGAAGAGTTTGCCATTTAGAACCTCATTGTGATGAAAATAAAAACAATTATTTAATGAACCAATGGATTACCTTTTTGCTTAAGCAACCTGATAACCAACTTTCTAAGGAATGTTTGTTTGCAGTTAACACAAAAAAACCTGCGCTTACGCAACCATGAATGCAACACGCGTGTAACCAACCTGAGTAGAATGTAAAGTTGAAGTAATTCTATACTTTTGATTATACCTACATTTGACTATTTTAATGCTGTATAATAATTTATTTTGTAAATGTCATGGTGGACCGAGAATACAGGCGACCGCTTCACATACTTTTTTAAAAGTTGAAAATCATCACATGGTTTCTCTCGCCCTGGGCCCCACAGTCAACGAAAGGGACTGTCAGTGTACTGGCCACAACCCTGTAAGCAATGGTCAAGAGACGATCTCCGGCTGAGGTAAGGGTAGGTAGCTCGCCGCCCGACCAGAGCCAGACCCGAGCGTACGGCGCGTAGCGTTCCGCGCGCGCCTCATAGAGCCAAAGAGACCACCACAGATGGGACCCCTATACGAGGGGTTTTTAGTCAGTAAGAGTCTGACACTCCTTCTCGCCCAATCCTGGGCGGGAGAAATCATTTGACGATTTTCCCCTTACAAAAAAACCCTGTTAGCAAAGATCTAGACTTCGTTTTATCACAATGTCGGATTCCATAAACAGAATATCTAATAAACCAAGAATCAAACCGGAAGACCTAAACTTAACTAAAACACTTGGAACCACTCATCGAACAAAACAATGAACACACGGACAAATTGTAACAATTTACTTTTAATACATAATTTCTCTAAAATCATTTCCGTGCTCCAGCGCACAACGTGTGAATACAAAACTGCTGAACCGAAAACGATGCAATTACATTCTTACATTCATTACACGTAGAACTATTGTTTTAAAACTATTTGTCGATAACAGCATGTCAAAGTATCACAATCTGACAAAATTCTTTAACAGATTTTAAAACTTAAATGTAAAGAAATAAGGTTGTTGTTCTCCTGAATTGGTATATCTTGATGTGCTGTCGACTACAATTTATTACATTCGATTTGTTCTAGTGTATCATTTGAATGATAAAGATCTAGTAATGGTCGTGTTAACCGAACTATTTAGCGTGAGAAGTGATTTAGTGGATTTGTATGCGAAGAGTAGGTACCTTGTTAGTTGATAAGAATGATTGTTGAGAAAAGGCTACTTGATGATGAAGGTTGATTTTCATTTTTTTTTGTGGAAGGTCAGCAACCGAGCTGATGGATCTCCTTATTTTGGGCACCCCTCAAGGGCAGTCGGAACACTTAACACCAATGGAGTTACAAGTGCGTTCCTGGCCTTGGGATTTGGGGATTGAGGATGGGGAGAGGGATAAGGTTTTGCCTCACTACCACGACGAAAAACCGTGGGGCCGTGGTATTGCTCCAGCCAGTCGAGCTGGTACATTCGCGTCGAAGCATGGCTCTCCCACACTAAAGTCATCTAAAACCATATTTATCCATTATCTTGGTCCAAAACGGCTGATAATTTTTCAAGCGTGTCTATTGCTAGCGTCAAATATTAAGATTCCATTAGGCAATCCCATTGTTCGTTTGCACCCTGTATCATGTAGATATAGATCTGCCCTAGTGAATTCCAGTTCTGGATGCCGTTGCGGTTGAAGGCCACCCTCATCCAGGACTTTCTTTCGACTTTAACTCATAAAATTCTAAATACAGGATGTAAAAACACACTTAACGAAGCCGTTAACTACGCATACAAAAAATTTAAAAATGCATCTTTGACCTTCAATGTCTCGAGAACCCGTGGAGTCCCAGCTATGGTCTTAAAGAAAAAATTATTCAAATAATGGGTAGAATACGTGGCTTTCGGCTTCGTTGTGTTTTTTTACACCCTGTATACACATAATGTTACGTTATCTTTAATGGATACAATTTTCCGATCTACAATAATAAACGCATTACCATAGCTGATTCCTACGCCACAAACTAGATGGCGCTACATGCACGTCACGGTTGATCAAGACATGCGTTGAATTCTTATCGGAACAACGACATAGTGCCCTATTTCACAGTTTAACTCCATGATAACAATGTTGTTTCTTACCTTTATGTTAATCTAAGTTAAATAGTTTAGTTGTGTAGGCAAGCAACGGTAATAGAGACTTCTTGGCTGTAAGCTAAAATTACCTTAATACAGCCAACAATATTGTGGAATGAGTTGTAGCCCGAGGTACATTTTTCCGAACGGATTTTAAAGTCCGAGAAAGCATCTGTTACTTAAACTCTCCTAGTATTGTGACGTTTAGGATCAGGAGATCCATTTGGTCGTTTGTCATATTAAGTATGTATTATGCCTTATAAATGTGGTCAAGTGGTATAATTGCGGCCACTACGGGCAGATCTAGATGAGACGGTGATCCCTCGTTGAGGTTGTTGTCGATTTAGAGTAATTAGTTTTATAATACGAAGTTACGTAAACAGACATGTAATAAAACCTGGCGCCTTTACCCCTTCCTTCGAACCACCTACGACTTCGTACGACTTCGACCACCCTAACTTGTGATTCCGTTAATCCAAAAAAACATCATAGTACTTTGAAAAAAATACCAAATACAACAGCTCAATCATCAACCACCAACAGACCGTATCAGTCTAGTGGATTCTGGCCATCTTTCTTCATAAGAAAGGATTCCCATAACTTACAAACCTATAAGGCAGGTTGGCAATCACTGTAAAAGTTCATGTTTATTAGGGTGTGCCACAGCCTGGTCTCTTTCTCTTTACAAAAATACGTAGTCCATTTGGATATTATATGACAAACTCAGGATAGGTGTCAAAGTCAAAGTCAAAATCATTTATTCCCATAAATAGGTACTTTTGAAACGTCAAAATAAAAATGTAGTCTGTCAGTCTGTTCGTCAGTGAAGCTAGGTGCTCATTCCAAATTGTAGATTCGAATGGAGAAGAACGAGCAAGAAACTCATTCGTTACTCTTTTTAAAAAAAATATGTATCTTTTACAATTTCACTAATATAACATTTAGTACTCTTATGTGAGAACAATGCAGAGACAAGTTGTAAAAAAAAGAACAAATGATGGGATCTATCATTAAATTTTAATTCTTTGTCGTCTCGATCATGGCGCTCACACATGCGTACTCACAATCTTTAAGAGTGCTTCTATATAAACTCTTTGGATATATAAGTAAAGGATTCATTCATTGTATGTTGGTGGTATATTATTATGTCCCACCATAATTCTAACTCAACAAAACACCCCTATAATTAACAAAGCCACACAACTTTGTATCTACTAGCTAGGCTAACTAGCTAACTAGGAAAGCGTGTTACCTACTTCCTAATTGTCACATGACACTATGTTTAGATGCGACGTACGGCAACTACATATACTGATCAAGTTTTTGTTGGGAAAACGCCTTCAGTACTTCTTGAATGAAGCTCAGAAAGTTGATGGTTAAGCAAATTTATTGCCAAAGACTGCTGAATGAATTTAGATGCAACTGGCAGTAAAATTAGACCTTTTTTTGTTAGGGAAAAATCATCCAATGACTTCTCCCGCCCAGGGTAAGGCGAGAGAGAGTGTCAGACTCTTACTGACTAAAAACCCCCCGTTCCTTCTCCTGTACTGGGCTGAGGTCGCGGAGCCTCGTTGCGCTTACCCCGCAGCCCCGGCAGTAAAATTAGACCTGAGTTTTGATAGTGGTACCTATCAAGTTGACAAAAATAATTAAGAACACTAGCTTCAGAGAGCAGCCGCTTTGTTTATGATTTTTGGTTTAATGAGTTTTTTTTTAAGAATAATAGCTTAGGTTAGGTTAGGTTCACTGGAATGTCTAAATAGAAAAAAGGTTCACAATCTACGATTCATACTTTATCAGGTAAATCTACTAAAACTACATAGGTACTTACTTAGCACAAATGCCTCATTTTACAAATAGAACTAACTCATTACAATAGTGCCCCCCCACTCCCACCATCTCGTGATGAGTATTTTTCCTATCACATTAATCATAGAGATGTGATACCTTATCTTATCTTCTCATTATACCTACTATAATTATTTTACCTTTTTTCCTAGACGTGACTTGGAGTGCGCGTGAGTGACGCCCGACCTCTCCCGACGTTTGCCGATCGCCCCCGGAACTTTTTAGCGGGAAAACAATGAAGGGGTGGGAAATAATTTTCTTTGCCCTTCTGGGCTTCGCTTTGGGGCAAGGACCGGAAAAACGTGAGTAGTTTCTTTTTATTTGTATGTGTGTTTGAAAATGTGTTTATTTTTGGTAATAAGTAGGTATTTTCTTGGTATTTGGACAAATTTTTAACTGTTAAGTGAATTCAAAATTAATGATTCTGTGAAAGAGTTTTGTTTGCTTATCGGTAATTAATTTACAAAACTAGGCACGACGGTCTCCTTTTTTTAAGATTCAAAACTTTTTTTGAATTGCGAAAATCGATAAATTTCTATGAATTTTTTTAATACATAAAAATTTGTATGTGGTGACGTCACATTTTTGCTTCAAATAGCGTTTATACTTATTGTTGAAAAACAACTACAAAAATACAATTATTTTGCATAAATTCTGTAAATGTAAAATAGAATTATTGTATATTTACGTATAATTATTTTTTATTTATATTTACTTGTGTTGAAAAATCGATAATGTACCGAATTGGAAACCTCGAACTTACTAAGAAACTAGCATACCTAATATACATTTTTTTGCAAGTTATAACAATAAAACTTACATAATAATATTGTTACGCTTACATAAGTTCTTGAATAACTCGATAAGTACATTGTGTCATAACTTTAAAGGCTAGTAATGAATTTTGTAACGATTATTAGGTATTTTTAAATCAGTTCCTAGCAATCCGAAATTGCTTATGTTCGCAATTTCGATTCTGACATTTTTGTTGTTCCATTTCAAACTTACCTGTCATTACTATATGTATTACTTGTCATTACTTTTTCAATAATAATAATGATAAATAGGTGAATAATTAATTATTTCCATTTATGAATGTGTTAGACTAGATACTCTCATGGATTAATTTAACTGAAAACATTTTCGTTAAAGGTGTAAAGGTACACATTTTTTTGACCTATGAAAAAAATACCACTTTCTATTTTTTTTTTGTTTTTTTTAAACGTTGTTTATTTTGTTCGAATTGTACAAAATTGTACTATTGTACAAAACCTTATTCTTAAAAAAATAATGTATCGATAAGTCAATGAACCAAAGTGGATATTTTAGTTCATAGGAAAGTCGAATAGTGACCCTTTTTAATATATATTTACTACTTTACTACAATACTCCGTCCACCTAAAGGTTGCCTGGTAGAGATCGCTTTTAGCGATAAGGCCGCCTTTGTACCTATGCATGTCAACTCTTTTGGTGTACAATAAAGTGTATTTATTATTATTATATTTATTTGAAAAATTAAAAAAAAATATTTTAATTTTTCTCACTAATGGACTTATAGAATTCTCATAAAATTCAGTCCATTTGTTTCTATGATAGCTTCATTGTATTTGCTCTATTGTTTTAAAACCATTACGAATGAATAATTGAATCCTATTATCGTTTGATTAGCGTAAAAAATCTCGACAGACTGATTAATATATGCTAGTTTGGTGACACTATATTTCTAAGAATATAATAATTATAACTGCCTGAATTTTGTCTTCAGCATTCTAGTATGATTCTTTTTAAATATTCCTTGTATTTTTTAGTGTTATTTTTTCGTGTTACAATTCAGATTGCATGATCGTGATTAGCTTACTATACTTTAAAGACCGATTTTAAATAAAACTTTTTTGAAGGGTTGAATGTCTTCTCCCGTCCTGCGTTGGGTAAAAGGGAGTGCTAGACTCTAACTGACTAAAAATCTTTCTATTCCTTAATATCCTGTTCCGAGCCAGGGCCGCAGTATATTAATTCACTTGCTTAAGCTAGCCGCATATAACTAATGTTTGTTTTTGTATTTTAAATAGTCACGCGTCTCTGGACAAAAATACCAAATGCAAAAAATATACCATTATACAAAAAAATCGTAAAATTACTTTAATACTTAAACAAATAATAAAAAACTAAACATCATTATAATAATTATAAAAATAATAAACTTTAACAACATAGGCGTATATTTGAGATACTCCAGCTAATACTGTTTCGACATATTTGCTTGAAGGCTTACAGTTTTATGCCATTGACTCGGTCGGTAAACAGAGCAACCTTTGCTTGTCATGTCAGGCTTATCAATCTTGTGCGAGTTGTAAATCACACGTGGTATGCTTAGGTAGGTAGGTATGTATAGTATGGTCTAGACTAGGAAAACTTTTAGGCCTGTTTGCAAGAGCCAGCGCAATAATCTACCGTGGCTCCGGTTTGGACCAGGATAAGTTACGGTGTGGTTTTTAGCCAGTAAGAGTCTGACACTCCCAGGGCAAGAAAAAAGTATTTAGATGATTTTCCCCCTCAAAAGTTCAGTCAGATCAGTGCGACACCCCTCTTCCTAAACATCACCCAGGGTGGGAGAAGTTGTTAGATGAACCTCGTTTAAATTAAGACGACGCGATATGTTCGGTAGGTACGTACGAAAACACAGAAAACGGGAGAAAAATAAAATAAAGAGGCAACCACAACACGGAGAAAAAAAAATAAAGACGCACCCATGACACGGGAGAAAACACTAGTTTCAAAAAAGTAATACAATTTCGTTACCAATTTTTACCATCGTGAAAGACATGAAAATAAAAACTTTCTTTCGTGGAGAGCTGAGAAAAGCTCAACTAGTTTCAAGCTACAACGGGACTCTTATTCATAAGCAGCGTGCGCGTCGCGGCCACGCACGCAACATCGCGCAGCCAAGTCCACTCATGGAGTTAATAAGTAGTTGCTTTCAATTATGAATTTTGTATTAATAAATAAGTTAGATGGTAGACTGTGTATACTAAGTACCTCTTTACTACATAGGTACTTCCAAAAAGGAAATTGGCAAATAACTTGGGTCTTTAATAATATAATTACTTACTTATATTTTCTCACGCATTATATGTATGTAGGTATGTAATTATTAGAAATCGTTCATCCGTCTAACATTAATTTTGTCGTAATTTGTTAAGGTACTTTACAAGTTACTGATCCAGTTATCTGTGACATATAATTATATCGGTTCAATTTGAACCCGTTTACCTAGTTACTGTAGGACCACAAATAAAGTCCATTTTTGTTTAAAAAATCTATACTAATATTATAAATCTGAAAGCAACTCCGTCTGTTCGTCTTTTCCTAAACTACTGAACCGATTTCTGTGAAATTTGGTAGGTACAGACATAGTTTGGAACTCAATAAAGGACAAAAATCTGTAGGAAGTCACCATTTCACGCGAAGGGAGCCGCGGCCAAAAGCTAGTTAGAAATAATTTAACCTTTTTTTACAAAAAATCAACCGAATCCTTTATGGATGAGATTGGCTTGTTCACTCAAAAAGTAGGAGAGCAGCAGAATTTGGTTTCGCTTTTTTTACTTCTTTTACGATCAAAAGTATACATAATATCGTACCTATATAACATTTCAATAAAAGTATTGGATTTGTCTAGATGAACTACCGTATTGGTGTGCCTTACCTCACGCCTCGCCTTATCCGTGACGTAAAGGGGACAAGGCGATGGCACCTACTTACACATCCCAATGCGTTCGTGAATGATTAGAGCCTATGTGAGTCATAGAACTTGTGAAGTAAAAGTAAATGCACTATTAAAATTGGGTTAGTTAGTTACAGGACTTTCACAGGTCAAGCCAATAAGTACTTTATTTATTAAGAATTTGTAGTTCGTCCCCGAGTTTACTGTCATTGTATTTCTTGTCATTCCTTTTGTAGTAGATATAGTCAATAATTTGGTATTTGTAATCAGTAATACTTTATCTCTCTCTTTTTATACTCACTCTTTCATTTATAATGTTAACAGTACTTTACGTAAGTATACACATTTTATCATCATTTAAAGGAATGTATAATTATAGGTACTATTTTACTATTTTTGTTGCTAAAAATTACTTCACAAAGATACACAATCTCGTACAAAATATTCATAGAATGTTATTAGAATATTATTAGAAAACTTCTAGACCTACCTATACGGAAAAATAATCGTATTTTTTGTTCGATAAGCCATTTTTTATTTCAGGAACAAAAAACTAATACGTTTTCTATCAATTTAAAACTGTTCTATTGTACCTACATTTTATTATAGTTACCTAAGTTAACGAAAAAACGAAGTTTCAATAATAAGGTGAAAGCAATATTTCACCGTTGAGAAATTTGAAGACATCTAAGATTAATATCATTATATTCTGTCAACTATCTATCAGAAAATCTCAACTTCATTCAAATCTAAGTCCTACAGTCTAAATAATACGTTTTATAATCCATCACACCTCAACGCTAACCTAGGATATCAACCGTTATGTACCATTTGCAACACTTGATTCGTTACATTTGAACCGAAGAAGAACCTGCGCGCGCGCATCTCTTAGACTGTTCGCGTTCACGCAAGATTAATGACAAAATTTTAGGTTTCAAGCCCCGTAGTGTTGCGGGCTCGAAATACGACATTTTCTAAGTTAAGCTTTCTAAGTTTGTTAAGACATAATTGACAAAAGGCGAAGGAAAACTTTGCATTGTTAAAAAACTTAGACTTAAAATTCCAAGTTTAAAATTCATCTTAGGCAGTGGTCACAGACAGGGCTCTATAGGGCTGATGTTCAGCCGGGGTACTGGGGTAAGCGCAATGAGGCACCGCGACCTCGGCCCAGAGCAGCCGAAGGACACTCTCTCGCGACCGACCCTAGGCGTGAGAAGTCATTTGATGATTTTCCCCTCAGAAAAGCAGGTGTTGTGGTGATAAATACTTTTTCAATACCATGGGAGACAAAGTTTTAGCTCACCTGTAGACAGGCTGATTACGTTAAAACTAATGATTATTCAAGCCTTTTATGGTGTTAAGATGTAACACAAAAAGAAGTTTATAAAAATAATTCTCCAAGCACAATAATGTCTCGACCAGAAGAAGAAACGAGGTGGTTTTTACTTAGAAAGAGTCTGACATTCTCTCTCACCCCTTCACAAAGAGGAAACGCATTTGACAATTTAGTAAAAAAATAACTGAAAATGATTTACGACCTTGTATCTTTAGGATTAATAACTCAAAAATGAATTGTAAACT